TGATATTTTGTAGCTCTAATTATTTCTTGTTTATTGCAATCAACTAAAGCTTACTTCTTTTTTTCAATTTTAATATAGGAAATGATTACTGGAATATTATCTTTTCGTTTATTTATATAACAGAAAATTTTTAAAAAAATTCCTTATCATTCGTAATATTTTATATAATCTTATCAGAGTATATATTATCATGATATAGAAATAATGATTAGAGTTAGATAATATCGTAGCATAATGTATCATTTTAGAAATTTTCACACACGTCAGATAAATGAATTAGCGGAAATGATTGTCAGATATAATAGTAGAATAAACGGGGAATAAACTTTAGTTGTTTCAGTACTTTTTTGTTTCTCGGAAATTTTTAGCAAATTTTTAATGCAAGAAATTTAGTTGGAAAGACAAAAAGAGATAGGCAATCTTTAATCAAGCCATATACAATTACTTGTATTTGATGTTTAATTGACATTAGTTATTTGATGCTAATTTGCAGAATACTTTTTGAAGAATATTTTAATTTCTAATTAGATGATAAACCATTATCATCCTTATCAATAATTGAGTATTTTGAGCAGATTGATTTAACAGATGTTACTTATTCTTTTTTCATACCTAAAACATTTTGGTATTACACTATGACAACAAATTACGGCAATATTATGAATGATTTGCATTTAGGCAATTATTGTTTCAGTTCTTTTTTTGCTTATCGGGAATTTTAGTAAATTGTTAATATAATAACGCAAGAACTTTCGTTGGAAAGAAATAGAAAAGTTTTAGAATTAAATTAAAAAAACAAAGAGTACAAAGAAGAAATGGGAAATGGAAACATCCCAAAATGTAATGATTTGCGATATACGGGTTTTTCATAAACCATCCTATCGGAGTTGTATACCTCGGTTCTTGGTTTGAAGCTACATTTTTTTTTTTTGATTTGGATGATATTGTGGGCATTTTGGAGCAATAGAAATCTTGTAGGTTTGTTTTTATGTTGGCACTCATCCTATAGCCTTTACATGGTTTATTCACATACAAGTATCTTCATTTTATTTCTTCCGTATTTTCTGCTTCAATATCATCTGTACGTACGTGCTTCCACGTTATTTTTGCATTTTCACTGATCATGATTATCTTTTACATATTTCGCACTTCTTTTCCGCAATGTGAAATTTTTCAAATGTAGTTAAAGGAAGCTCACTGAACCAGTTCTTCACATGACATATTGATGATAAATCTGCTTCTAATTCTAATACTTTTTTATCCCGCCATTTCGTCTATTTTTACCTGATGATCGAAATAGGTCATTTAGTATCGTCATTGTTATCTCACACTGTTACTTCTCCTTATCCTGACAAAAATTATTTAAATTCGTTGTAGAATCGAGTGCTGATATTCTTATATTAATTGTTTTCCCTGTTACTTAAATCACTTTTATTTTACTTCTACTTCGTAACTATTCTTATGCTTATACTTTATCTTAGTTTTACTAAATTGTAGTACTTAATATTTAACAGCTTTTCTCTATGTGCCATTATTTAAGCTTTCTAAAATTAAGTAGACTATATAACCACAGGATTTTAATTTACGAAAAAAAGCTCGTGCTGGCTTCTTGGATCTTTATTCCTCTTATTTTTGTACTGATATTTTAGGCTTAATCTTCGTGAAGTCTTGGAAATTTGGGCTGAAGATACAAATATTGGGATGAGTAACGCTGAAAGTATAGATGAAAAAGTAGAAAGTGGTGGTGAAACTGGAGGTACCAGTACTCCATCGTCAACATCATCAAAAAATGGCCGAAATCTTGATGGTTATATTTTGTTTCATACTGTTTTGATTTGCATTAGATAGGCCTGTTATATAATTTTTGAGTCCTCGGTTAATGATGGATTGGTCTTGGAATTAGATGTTGATTTCTGTTGCAGATTTTTTCTTGGTAAATTGTATTGCACGAAAGTTCATGGATTTCTTATTGAGCTGTGCCCTATTCTGTTTTATCTTTTTATGACAAAGTCCGTTTCAAAACAGTGATTACAGATAATCCGGTATGGGCAAGAATACGAGAAAGGATCACCGGAGTCGATAATATTGACCTGGCATGCGAAGGTACATCAGAGATTTTATTTAATAGCGTAGCAATGAGACTGAACAAATTTTGGATAATTTCCTTATGTTCTAATCACAGTTTGACCAATTACTTGCTAATAAATATTTGAGATGAAGAGAGTAGAAAGTTAATGTCGCATCTTTTTTTATGTGCCAGTTTATGCACTACTAAAAATGTCGAACTTCTGTGTACCTAGTCATGGAAGATTGAATTATTAGTATGTTAGTTGAAGGGTATATTCATCCCTTGAAGGGTTGTAAGAATTGCTTAAATTTTCATATTCCTGTAAGATTTGTTATAAAAAAGAGAATTGATCTGTTAATCATTTTGCCGAATACATGTTTTTTAAAGATTTTAGAATCTATGGGACTATCTTCACCGTCTGGTTCACCATCACCGAGTTATAAATTTCCAAATATGGACGAGGATACAGTAGCTTCTTCCGCGCAACAGTTTTCTCTTGGTATACATTGCCCTAAGATAAAAACTTCTTTTTAAGAGGGTTCATTTGCTATAAGCTAAAATCACTAAGACAGTACTCAGTTCGGGATTAGTATATAATTTGTTAGTTGTGAAAGAAACATTCTATTGACTTGGAAGTTCCACATTTTTTTTAGATTCCAATAATGAGACAGGAAGTGAAGTGCAATTTTGAAAGAAATTCTCATATACTTTTGTTTTCATCTTTTAATTTTTGGTCTTTTATCTTTTAGTTTCATTTTTCCCACTCATCTGTTATGTAAAAGTACTTCATATGTCTGGGAACAAATTTGAGAAAATAAAGTCTAGCCTTAGTCCGGGACATCAGATGAACATATTTAATCGTCATAATTGAGTACTTAACATATCAGAAATACGATAGTAGCGTAAATTAAATGTTAGTATTTTAAGTTACTTCATTTTTACAGAAACAAATACTGATATGGCTGAAGATACGAAGCAGAGCAGCTGTTTGGATGATGCATTCACAACATCAATGTTAAAGAAAAATGATGAAGCACTGGGGAAGTTGCAGCAAGCAATTGACAACAGCGAAAATTTTGACATTGGTAAATACTTATAGAAATAGATAAAAAAAAAACAGTAATCTGGGTTTGTGGCTGGACCGAGATATTTCTAAGTTTCTTACAGCAGTTAAAGTCTGGGTTGAGGTGTCTTTTGTTATAATTGAAATCAGTAGCTTAATGATCAAGTTGGAGTATTAGATTAGCCTATTATTTGTAGATTATTCGATAGATGTGGATTTTGATACTTCAATCTCTAAATCAAAGTTTTGGATTTTGCAGATGACATTTCTTTAGTGGATAATGTTTTTGCATACAAATTCAACAACACAACTGATGTACAAGACAAAATTGCTATTTGTGAAGAGTGGTTATGTTTCTTGGCAAAAATTACTCCCATTGCCACATCTCGATGGCTTTCACATTATCAGTTCAGCATTTACTATACATTTCACATGGTAAGAAATTGTAGCATATTTAGATTTCCATTTGTTTTTGTTAGTAATTTTTTCTATGAAACTCTTAGAAAAAGCCAATCTACATTTTGCAGCGGTGGGCTTATTAGTATGGAGACACGGTTCACATATGTGGTAGCCTGTAATGTTTGGAGGAATTTGTGTGAATCACAGATACTTCGGGAGCATGCTAAGACATTATCGCGTCTTCTTTAGCAGAAAACACGAAGTTTGATCTATCGATAGTTTGGAAAGCGAACAGTTAAACAAATTCAGTACGATATGTTGCTGAATGGCGGACATGTCCTGAATAACTCTGCTGCTGAATTTCTAGAAATTCTAGTTTGCTGCCATGCTGAAATCTTTTTTTTCAGATGGCGCTTGTTTTTCGACATTATGAAAACAAAGATGAGAAGAAGCGTTTTTATAAAATTTCATTGCCTCTTTTCAAGTAAGTTGTTTTTCTAGGATTATAACTTCATACTTATTCATGATAATAGATAATTTGGAAATTTAAAAACTTTGGGATTTCAATTAATCGGCTCATTTTTCGTTTATAGACTGAACGTCTGAGTTATTACAGGAGTTTGTTACAAGCAACAAATTTAATACCGGAGACTTCTGAGGAAATCGTAAATACGAAACTGGATGTATTGTTGAGTATTTCTTTTATTGCCGTTCAATTCTATGATGTGAGCGATCAGGAAATTGTAAAATACATAGAGGTAAATTGAAGGTCATTAAGTGCTTTTGCGAAAAAAATTTTTTTGCAGTGAGTAATCACTCACTGTTTAGCAATAGTTTCCAAATTAAAATACTTAAAAGAGTACAAAGAGTTGCTTGAAAATATAGTATGTTTAACAGAATTATTTTCAGTACTTTTATTTTTTAGCGAGAAATGCGTTCTGTCGGAGATTCGGTAGCGGGAAATTATTCGTCGGAAGCAGCAACACTGATGGTACAGAAGGTTTTCCGAATCAGCAATAATTTAGAGGAACGTAAACGCTTGCTTAGTGGCAGAATTGAATATACGTGATATTAGTGTTTTCATTTCATATTTTATATTGTTTTGAAATGATAGAGGTTGTGAATAATTTTGTATTTATGAAAGTAAATTATTTAAAATGCTTTCTTCAAATGGATCCTGAAGCAAAGGCCTGGATGAAATATATTTCTAATCGATTGCTTAAAAATTTTTTTCAACTTTTTTTACTCGAAAAGATTTAGAAATTAAAATTCCTGAATGAATTCTTTTCTCGGGAGATTGAGAACATATTATCTAAGCGTATTTTGTTTTAATTTTAGAACTTATTTCACTTTTTCCTTTTTGATGAATTGTATCATGGATGTTGCTTTAACTCTTAATAAATGTTATTTGTTTCTAAATAATTTACATTCATAAATAATAATCTCAGCTGCATTGATATTTTGGAATGTTTATTGTAGAACTCCATCAAGTATGATGTTGTTACTAGATGAAACTTCATGTCCACAATTTCGTTCTTCATCATCCTTGCTATTCAGTGTGAGACTATTACCACCGGATTGTGTGTTCTTTTGAGTGCGGATCTGTTCTTTCATACGTCGCATTTTTTCTTGTTTTCGATATTTGGCTCGTCGATTCTGGAACCAAACCTGAAATTGAACTTAATAAACGAGACTAAGGAATGAATCGGTTAAATTGAAACTTAATAAAAACTTAAATTGAACTTAATAAACGAGACTAAGGAATGAATTATAGTAATTTTTGTGAATATTCAAAGGAAAGTCTGATTTCTCCATGCTGATTAGCTTTTCTTATAATTTCTTTAATGGCTAGGATGAATTAAGCAAACAAACAATTAAAAAAATCAACCTGTACTCGTGCTTCTGTCAGATCTATTCTCATTGCCAGATCTTCACGAGTGTAAATATCCGGATAATGGGTTTCCAAGAATGTTCGTTCTAGCTCTTTCAGCTGTATAGATGTGAATGTTGTTCGAATCCTACGTTGTTTTCTTCTTTCCATTGGATTATTCCTACCACAAATGGCACCTTTAATTAATATTCCGCTTACATGGATAAGTGACCAAGTCTTAGAAGTGTAATCTTTTGCATAGATTTTAAATATAGCGATTTCTTTGTTTTACATATAACCAATTCTTTGAAATTTTGATATAGATAACTATCATTGTTGAAGGATTGATCTTCCCTATTTTTTTTAAAAAAAAAAGAAGTAGAAGGGAAAGAGAATTATCAATGATAATATTTATTACCAACAAATGAGGATCCTTGTATGCCAGCCATTAAGCTTGCTGTATTAGCTCGCATTGCATCAGCTGTTGAGAGGAGTGATGTTTGATTTTGATACAATTTATAATGAAGTCCTTAAATTTTATGGATTAAATACATGGAAATTGATTTTGCAATTTCAATGAATTCATATTGACCTAATTAAAAAGTGAATGACATTCCACGAACTTTCTGGACTACTTTATTCGGGAGAATTCTGACGATCATCAGAATCGCCGAAACAGAATCAAGTTACCATAGCAGTCTCTTTAATAAGCTCATCAAGGATTGGAACTCATATAAAATTCTACTTCTTAAGAATTGCTCAAAATTTTTTATCCCTCGAATAAAACTGAATATTTCAGATTTAAATAAAAATAAATTGTGAAAGTATGATTTGATGAATGTTAAGCATTATCACTAACTAACAGGTGAAAGAGTGGATATTATTTTGACCTCATTTCCTCATTTCTTTCGTCACTTATTTTCAACCCTATTCCTTTTTTCTCATTTCAAAAGTCACATTTAATTTTCATTAACTTATTTCATTGAGTAATTTATTATCTTTATGAGTCATCATAGGTTATGTTTGTTTCATAATGCTTCTCAAAAACTTTAGCAGAAGGAAACATATTTCGTTATGAAAAGGTTGCAATGCTAATGCATACAAGTGATAATATTAAAATTTCCTCTCTATTAGCTTTAGAAAGTATCAGTTATAAAGTGTTAGAAAATGATAACAATTTAAAGTCAATGAATAAAATATGAATTTTTTTAAAACACATTTGATTAAGATTGTTTAACTCTCAGTCACAAATAATTATGGGAATCATTCTTGCAGCATAATATACATAGTATTATCATAAATTTTAAGATAAGAAAAGATAACGATGATAAATTCTAAGATAAGAAAAGATAAGATAACAAGGATAGTTTTAAGCTGAAACTTAAAAATTAGTATTTTTTATAAAAAATGAAATAAAATATTTAATTTTAACAAAAGAGAATTTCTTCAGACATCAAACAATTTATTCAAGAATAAGAAGAAAACCGAATAATGTGATATCATAATTGTTTCCTTATATATCATTTCCAAAACATATACACATAACCAATTTCATAGAGTTGAATCCGTTAAACCGGAAAACAAATTACCTGTTTGTAAGAAAGCTTGTAAAGAATCGGCTGTACAATAGGATTGTGCAGCTGTTGTATTAGTAATTGTCTTTGTCGTAGAACTAGCTTGCATTGAAGTTTGTAGCATCGATTGATGATTCCCAACGGTTAAATGTCTGAAGAAATTCGTATTTTATGAATCGAAAAATCGTAATTTTGTAATTTGTAAGAGAAGATTTCATCTTTTCTTTTTTTTCGGTATATGTATTATTTCCGGAATTCTCTTTTTGTTTTCATTTGTATAAAAATTGATGATATGAGATGCGAGATTTCTTCACCTCGTACTTCCAGCCAATTGTCCATATGAATTTGTATATTGCTCATAAAGTTGTTGTTGCTGCTGTTGTTGTTGTTGTTGTTGTTGTTGAATGGTATTATTACTGTATGCTGTAGCCATTAATGATCCATTAGTATTTGTTGTTGTTGTAAAATTTAAATTTGGATTTAAACTAAATGCATCAAAGCTATTACGATCATAACCAGTTGTTACGGGAGCTGTTGTAAAATAGCTACCATAATCTGTCATATTCATCCTAAAATTATGATTATAACTATTTCTGACTGACTGATTGATTGATTATTTTTCATCTCTAAAAATAACAAATGAATGTTAAAAAGGGTAATGATTATTGTTAACAGTAAATTTTAAAAAGATTTTTGTTTATGTATAGGTGGTGTATCATTTCTTTTAATGTATCGTTAATATTTGATAAAAGTTTACGATGAAATTTTATCCTATCCAATTCAACTCGATTAAAAATTTGCTTGTAGTTAATTTTAATCATTATAATATTACAATAACTATTCTCTTCATTACCGTATACTTCATATTTTGCACTTTAATCGGAATTTAATCTGTTAATTTAACGTGCCATCTGAAATTATCTGTTAATTTAATTTGTTAATTTAACGTGCCATCTGAAATTATTCAATCTAATTTTACAAATGTTATAGTAATACAAATTATGGTAATGTATCATAAGTTTTTGCATTATCTGCAATGAAGATATGCTACACAACAGTATCTGATCGTAAATTAAATCAATTCAAATTTATTAATTATAATGAATGAAACTTTGATGTATTCGAATAAAGAAATAAATTTTAGAAAGTTTAAAAGAAAGCTAATAGGTAATATAATTCATATTGGAAATGGAAAAATAAATCAAATCTATTAGAAAGCGATTAGTTTGAAACGATTGTTGTTGTCTGAGAATGAATTCATTTTAGAATATATTTATTCAACAGAATTTTCGACATCAATGCTGGACAATATTCATTGCTCCACCCTTCAATAAAGCTTAATGGATCCTTTGCCAAAATATTTGGCTCGTTTTGTTCCTTTAACTCCTCTCTTCACATCTGGCTAAATATTATGAGCGATTACGGTAAGCATCAAACTTACTTCCAAATATATTTTACTTTCTCCTCCCTCTTCCTCCTCCTCTCTTCATCTCTAACGAAGAAGAAACAAAGATATGAGAAAGATTACTTTTGATTTATTAAAAATTTGAAATAAATTTAAAATTTTAATTTAGCAAAAAATTTTGATTAATTATCAGTTTTTGTTATCCATCAAAAATTATTAGAAATTAGTAATGAATGAATAAATTGCAATTAATAAAGAAATTGTGTTTTGTTGAAGAAAAAATCTTTTGGCTGAAATTTAAATAAAATTTCAATTATACCTGGAAAATCATCGTGTTTAATTTAAACTATCAACGGACATCAAATATCTTTTTATCATTTGCTTCTGTGTTAGCGTTAAATATTGCAATTTACCTTTTGCAACATATTAATAATTAAAAGTTTAATAGGTTTGGCCAAAAGTAAAATGAAATAGAAGCTTAGCACCGTTTGCTTAGGATAATTCATTTACCTCAGATATCCCATCTTTTCTTCCGCCGAATTCTTCCGTAATAAAAAGTCATATTTATGCCATATTAAAAACAGATTTGGAAATTCAAAAATTTCCGTAAAATTATTTTCCTTTCAGATAAGATATTTCGGAAATTTCTACTTTAAAATAATACTTTCATTTTCGTAATTTTAATTATTCCTTCACTTTTTAATATTTAGTTTATCATTGTCATCCGGAAAAGTTGCGATAAAATGATTGACCAATATCCAACGGGTTGACCAAACATTTAGAATTAAATGGATTTCATTTATCCCGAAAATGACATTATAAGGATATGGAGCAGGAAAACATTGTTCTAATTTTGCAGAAGATAACATTGGAAATGTGTCCATCTATAGGAAAGCTCGTTTATCTTATTAGCAACGATCTTTGTTGGTTTGCAATCAACGAATGCATCCATATTTCGTCTAAGAAACTGATAGAATCTCAATCCTATCGTAATCCTTCCATATTCAGCCTAAGAAATTGATAGAATCTCAATCCTATCGTAATCCTAAGTTTTAATATAATTTAAATTTAAAAAGCTTTAAATGGAAAACTGTGGAAAAAGATTTAGTGCAAAAAATTTCATTTTTAACTTTTCCCATAAATTTTTGAAAATTTTAAGAGTTAATCGAAGAATGCAAAAACAGCAAATTATTATTAAGGATGAAATTAAATTATTAATTTAAAAGTTCAAAAATATTGATTAAGCTTTTAAAAAAATAAACAGATGCATTGCTGTGATTGTTGCGCTATTCAATAGATTAGTTACATAGGAAGCATCCACTTGACCTCTAACCCTAGTACTCAGGCTAACTAACAGTAATGGTAGTAGCATTAGTAGTAGTAAGGAAATGAATAATTGATTGATGAGAACCAATTTATAACAATTTGCTTCTTGCATAAGAAAATATACTATGATTTAACTTAATTATTAAAATACACAAAATAACTAATGTTCAAATAATAATTCCATGAAAATAATTCGTATCGTTAATGTTGGTGTGATCATTGATTTAAAAAGGTAAGAGTTTAATTAATTTGACCTTTGCTCTGCTTATATTTCATTAATTAGCGATTCATTTATCACAATAAATGACTTATTTCATTAGTTATTAAAATAATTGGTAATTTAATTTGAAACCTTAAGGTTATGTGATTTCTTCCTCATTTTTTGGTAATACAAATGTAACAAATAATAGAAATATTTTATCGTTCACTTTCTTCATATATACTAACTATTGTACCTTCGGTTATTTTAGTACTTAAAATTTACAAGGCAACACTTAATTACTTCCATATATAAATACTTAATTTAATCTCACTTAAACGACCTTATTATTTAATTTAGCTTAGTTATATTTAAATTGTTTTAGTCATATTTAAATATACGATCACTTAATTACAGTTATCGCAAGTAACTCATCAATATATTGCTTTTCACATTCATATTATTTAATACTATTGTAATAAGGTCTGCCATTATTCTTCTCGTTATGGTACCAACCCTTAATCAAATTGATCGATATCAAATTCCGAAAATGTAATTAATTGTAGCACTTTTCCTTTTCAGTATAGCATTGTTTCATAAGCTTAGTTTTCATATTCATATTTTTATGTAACATCTACAAACAACAGGAATACAAGGGAACACTGACCACTCTTTATATTATAAGGATAATTTGATTCTCGACAATTCAATGATCACATTAACACAATACTGATCCATCACAACCAAAACGACATCGTCGATTTGTGTCATTTTGATAGCTGCGTTACGAAAACAATAATATTGATGTTTTCGTATTTATTCTAATCATTAGGTAAGAATCTTTTTCTTGTTTTTCCTTGATTTCCTAAAGAAATTCTCTTAAAAGATATTTTATTAAGTTTTATTAGTTGTCAACTAATTGTTATCTTCATTGTTAATCAGTTAAGGTAATGAGCTAACATTATGCATATGATTAGCCGTCGATGAATGCCAACAATTGTTATGTAGGTAAATTCGTAATAATTGAGCAAGGTAAATGGGAGACGCAATGACATCTGCCGCATGTTTTTCTAACAAAAACCTTGAAATTTCAAAAATCAAAGCATATTTCACCATCAATCGCTATTTGGTCTGTAATGAGCTGCTTGGTATTTCACGACTAATTGAAACCTTTATGTTTCTTTTCTGTCTTCAAATTTTTATTTTTTTGTTTTTTCCTTTTCAGAGTTTATTTCTGAGTTCCAATTTAAATAGATAATGAAGCTTAGGGTTGAAGATGAATTATTAAAAAGGCGCAACAATTAGAGATCGATTTACTCAGGGATATGTCGGGGAACAGTTTCTCAATATCAAAATACCGTCTAAAAGTATTGAATGATGCTAATTATTAGATGATTGCATAATTGTATTAGTTAGTTAAATTCTTTTGTTCATACTCAATGTCCCATTCCAGCAATATAGATTTCTTTGTTGAGTGAAACAATAATTATTATTTGGATGTTTTTCCTCTCTTAAAATTTGAATGTATTATTAACAATGAATAAATTTCAGAGTGACTAAAGAAACGGCAGCATCACTGTATTCAGTGGAAAGGTGCAATGGGAACTAATAATCTGAGGTTAGTTGGATATGTGTTGAAGCTTTATTTTTTTAATTTTGGCGAAAGTTTAAGTTTTTAAATGACGAATTTTGAAAGCCTGACCAATAGAGAGAGACTAAAATTGTGGTTTTGTTATTTCACAAGTCATCATATTTTGATGTGCAGTTATTATAATCTAGTATATGTTAGTATGGTTGAGAAAAAGTTTAGATTTAATTGGGGAAGTTCATATTATTCTTCACTTCTTTTTATCTTTCAAACTGTAATCAATGCGAGACCATTATTTTGTCTCTTAACGTGCTCTTTATGCTACTTTTATGGTCTTGATAATGCACAATTACTTCCATGACACTCATATTTGCTGCACGAATAAACTTTTGCGATAGTAACGGACAATCTTTCACCATTTTTGATGCTGCAGATGTGGAATCTTATCATATTGAGCTTCCAACAGTCTTTATTCTCTCTCTGAAAATGGAGCTATTCCCCCATTAATAATAAAAGTTTCATTTATTTTTTCCGGACAGTAATTCGTTATTGATTTCAGGAGGCCAAAAACACGTCGCGGAAAACGATTTCTAGAAAATCGTCAACCAAAAGTTGTTGAGAATGATAAAACAGCTATAATCGTGAAAGGTGGTAAAACAAGCCAAACGGTTACTGATGCATTAGCTGATCTTTATGCTTTGAAAAAGCCATTGGCTATGCGGATGAAAAGGTCTAACCTTAATCATAATCATTCCAGTGTTCAAGATTTATAATACAGCTTCTCACTCCAAGGATTCGCGATTTGTTGGATGAGTATGACATTTTGTTATTTCTAGACATAATCCGATCCATCCATTTGAAAATGATGTTGCATTGGAGAGTTTTGCGATGAAGTATGACGCATCGTTATTTTTGTTTGGCTCAAATTCTAAGAAACATCGAAATAGTTTGGTTATGGGACGTATGTATGACTGTCATGTGCTCGATATGGTCGAATTACAAATTGAGAATTTTATTAAATCTGCAGATTTTGATGTAAGTGCTTTTTTTTAATTTAACTAATAAGTTTTATGGAGACCGGACTATATAATTCTAGAGTCATGAATTTTAATGGAGCATGGTAATAATTCGAAAGGAAGTTCTCGAAAGTCTGAGACCTTTTAATTCAATTCATAATTCATACAAGTTCGTACAAGATCATGCCTGTGTTGCGAATTAGATGTAGGTTCAGATGTTTATAGTATTTAGCAACACTAGAACTTAATAAGAACAGATTAGTTTAAAATACTTCCTGATGCCAACAGTACCACTTATGGGAATTGAAATGAGATACCTTTGAAATATATTGCCACTATCAATTTCTAGAATCACTCAACAACCTTTCAAAATTGATATTTGAGGAATTTTCCTGATTTTTTGCATAACGCTGACAAGTCGATTAATAAATAATATTTGTTCAAGTTAACAATTTATGTTTAAGCTCAGATTTATAAATTTTCACAAAATTCGAAGAAGTATATTTGCTTTGCCTTGATTTAAGGGAAAATAAATAATTAATAACTTTAAAAATGTGACATTTTTCTTTGTCTTCTCTTTTATAATTGTTTCGTAGGAATTTTCGCTTTGAAAAACATCAAACACGAATATATAATATTTTAGTCAGCCAAAATATCTCTTGGTAGTAAACCTTGCATAGTTCTGCAAGGAACCGAATTTGAAAAGGATGAATCGATGAAACGTATTGGTAATTTGATGGTCGATTGGTTTCGTGGTGCAGTAATTGAGAATGTACGTTTGCAGGGATTAGAACTCGTTATTTCATTGACTGCTCTTGAGCAAAAAATTTATCTTCGAGTATACAGGTATGTATCCTTTATTGCATGTTTCAGACATTTTTTTATAAAAAAGCTGATTAAATATGAAGATAATTACTAACACCTATTAGGTGTTATCTCTTTCCTGAATATATTGTTGCTAGACTGTATCTAGGAAAGAATTGTTTTAATCCGGATGGCTTACAAGAGATTGACGTATTAGAAGCGAATGACAAGCTTTAGATGAGAGAAAAATAAGAAAGAGCAATTTAATGTGGACGAATTCAATTAGCGAAACAGCCGGTTTCTTACAGGACTTGCTGTTGAGATCAGTTATTTATCGTAACTATTGAGTAATTGGATTTAGTTTTCGAAATTTAGGACTTGTTTGAAGAAGTCAACGGGTATATCGCCAAGAGTAGAACTCGTTGAAATTGGACCAAGAATTGATTTTTCGGTGCACCGAAATAAATTTGCTAGTGAAAGTCTTTTCCGGGAAGCAATGAAACAGCCGAAACAGATCTTGGTGAAAATTTTATACTAATTTGGCTAGTCTATTAGCTGTCCCTGTTATTGTCTGAGAAGATGTAGTAGAGTTTTGAGGGAGAAGGTTTTAATGTTTTGTTCCTCTTGAAGCAAATAAGGTCGGATAAGAAGTAACTACCAAATGAATTCCTTTTAGGCTACAAAGTAAATTCTGGTTTTTTTTACGATTATAATAGTTAGTTTGAAACAGAAAATTGATCTGACATTGTTAGGTTTGATTTTGGGAAACCGTATTGATATGTATCACTCCAAAATTTTGTTCAAACTCATAATTTTTAGGCTAAAAAACGAAAAAATACGTCAACGGATGTATTTGGCACTGAACTTGGACGTATTCATGTCGGTAAACAGAACATTGACAGCATGCAGACAAAAAAAATGAAAGCATTAAGAGGAAATAAGAATAAAGAAGCTGCAACAAGCAGCTGATTTTAATAATCAGAAAACAAGATCTGTCACTCCAAATTTTTGTGTAAATTTTTGGTTTTTAAGCTAAAATGAAAAAAATACGTTGCGAGTGAAATTTGAAGTACATCTAAGTGGCAGACCTCGGTAGAGGTGAACAAAGTGGTGACTTATTGGAGGGTTACAAATTTCTTTCAAGCTTCAAATCAGATTTCTGCTTTGGGAAGAAGATGAAGTCATTCCAAATTTCTAATTATGGAAGACTAATCATAAAAAGGGGTGAATTGCACTCATTGAAAAGGAATGAATTTGCAAGTGAATTGCAAATTTTTGTGGAACTGTTCTCTTTTTGTTGCAAATTTGAACGAAAAAAAATGAACTGAGAGTAATAATTGAATTTACCCAACTTTATTGATCAATACCCATATTTCTACGACCCCTTCCTTCCTTTGGTGAGTTATTTTCATTTTGTCTTTCTGATGATTCCTACAATTTTTCAATCCTCTAGTCAATTGTTCTGTGAATGATACCTCTTCATTGGCGGATATCTATAATGTTCAATTCCTCTGGTGCTTCATTCTACAAAAAAAAGTGTTTTTTTGACGCATATCATAGAATAGTTCTATGATAACTGTCTTCCCACCTTTTCTTGACAGCTTTTGTCCAAAAAATTTTAAACAATTTATGGCGAAACCCAAACAACCTGTGTTTTGCTTATTTTATGTGAATAATTTCTAAATGCCTTTCTAAGGCGAAAATTTAAAAGAAATGTTTGCTTATATATAATAATATAAATACAAACTTCCAAAGCTGTCGAAAGAGTCACAAGTATTGTTGTTCTTTTACAATTAAAAATTTATCGCACGGTTTACCGTAGTCGTATGTTGCCTTCTGATCGATTATGAGATTTTGAATGGGGAATGCTATGAAAAGTGAAGCTTACCAAACTAAACCATATTCAATGTTTTCTTAAAAAAAATGATTTATACTTTTGAATGTTGCATCATTACAGCAAAAAAGAAGGTGAGCCATTATGACGATTTTATCAGGTAATGGAATCTTTCGAGGGCCTTCCTCAAATATTCCAGTTGGCTTGTTTGGAGCTGAAAAAAGCCAACTATGTAAATTTCACTTGGAATTTCAGTACACAGAATTTGTTTCCAAAGATTTGTGAAGAAAAACAATTGTCCTGCAAATTTTTATGTCAAATTTATTTTGTTTTTCTTTCATATAACTACTCAGCGGTAGCGTATTGATCTATACATAAATTCTGGTTTATAATTGCGTTACTACCTGTGGTGGGTCTTGTGCTACTCGCCGGTTATTATTTTTACCATATATCACGGTGTTTTCTGGCAGCTCTTCTCGTAACACTGCTGTGCAATTGGTGCCAATGAAGCAGCCTCGCGTAACCGTTGTGTTCAGGCCGACTTGACATCGTACGCCAAAAACATTATTGTCGCCAATCTTTAAAGCGTGAATAACTGAAAAATTATTACGATACTTTAGCACAATCTAGTCGGCAATCAGTTTTGAAACTTCGAAAAAACGATCAGAATATAAACTTTATTTTAAAATTCCACTCACCCGATCCAATTTCAAAAACATTGTCACGGCCGATTGATAGTGTTTGGCCATTTTCGTTCCTGAAACACATTCTATTTTAAAAAATGACAAGAAGTTAAAGGGAAGATTTTCTTATTGTTTGCTGTTTGTAAGAATTTTTCAGAATATTCGAATGGCTTTAATTCGCTCACAAGTTTTCAATAACGCAGGTTTCCTCGATGTTATTGTTTTCTCCGATAATAATAGGCCCATTTGTGGCGCGTATAACGGCAGTCGGATGAACAACAGTACCTGAATGTGTTTTAATTAGTAGCTCGGAATCTTTAATCCACTTATCCTTCAAAAATCGAGATTCTCATCAAGGGAACATAATGGCGATACCAAAAGAGAAAGGGTCTTTGTAGTAGGTGAAAACTATTTTTTAAAAGATTCTGAAATATTTGGAAAATCTTCCTGAATACTCAAATAAAATAGTTGATGTGCAAATGATGGATTAGATAATAATATTTATTTTAACATGCCATACGTTTTTATAAAAAACTATATACCTATACATTCAGATCACCACAAAAGTCTATACAAGAATTGAAAGGTATGAGAGAAATTTTTGAAACATCAGTAATGGGACACAGAATAAGTAATACCATTATCAGCACGTATCGAGCAGAGCATAGAGTACATGGATGAAAACCACGTAAAACAAGTCAAAAATTAGAAAAGCTAAGCAAGTATTTATGAAAACACTGCAGTATTTATTGTATTGACGATACCTGATCCAATCGTTATATCTCCTTCCAGAACTGCTTCTTTACATACAACAGCATCAGATGCTATCGTAAATCTATAACTAAATTTCTATACATTTGATTCTAAGCAATCTATTTCCAAATTATGTGCAGCGAGGATACGAAGAAGAATGAAATTCCAGTCGTTCCCCCCATCTTCTCTCTTAGATCAGAGAAAAAGTATATTCATTAAAAAAATACCACTTCCTTCTTTTCAAACTTGTATTCTTCTGAAGAATAAAATCAAGACATTATAAATGATAAAATTCATTTAAATCTCGAAAATTTGGTTTGTAAGCAAAAAAAAATGACATTAAAAGGAAAAATTACTTATTTTCAACAGTCATTCTGTGATGCCGTTAAAGTTCAACCGGAATAAACATCACGAGTAATCCCACAAATTCTGTAAATAGATTATCGTTAATTTAAAGAATGCTGAATAAACAAATCTTAGGTGAATTTCTACGTAAGCAATGGATTCCTGGACAAAAATCAAAAGTGGAATAAACTCCCAAACGCTCAGAACCCCTATCGGGAATAACCTGTCATGTACTAGGCTAAGGCAGTGGCAGTAATTTACGGCTGCGGTCCGAAATAAGCAGAAAAATGTCCCATTCGCTGGGAACATGGCTTAAATTAAAACCTCAACTCTAAATTTCACATATACCTTATGCATTGAAATCTGATAGCTCGTTCGATCAATTTACCTTGAAATTTTTTAGGATTTCTTTGGCAAAGCTTATTCTTTTTACGGATTTTACTTCTGGAGAATTTCAACTTGATACATGATTACTACGCTCTTGCCCTTTATCGCATTGAGTCTGAGATTTGTTCAAAGATTGTCTGATTTTATTTACGACTGTACTTTAGATAAAAATTTTCGTAAAACGGCTTTTTATTTGATATATTTTATTTATAAAGTAAATATATCGTATTTATAGCAGCATAAAGCAATACCGAAGATATATCTCTTCATTCTTGCAAATTACAATACAGACAATCGAGTTATTAGTTCAGAATGTAATTTCATTGATAGAACAGTACTTTTCAGTGGTTTCATTTTTCCATGTAGGAAAGGCATCTTATTATCCTATTTGTCCTTTCCTATGAAAACAATTATTCGCGATGAAACCTCAAACAGACATATTAGTAATGTATGGTAATACTACAGGAAAGTTCTTTTAAAGCCTACAAATTAAGAAAGAGCTAATAAATTTTTAAAAAGATTTATTTTAATAAGGGTTAGTTATATCTGGACATGAATTTGATGCAGCGTTTGAAGACAAGATACATTACCTTATCTAGATCATAAAATGAATAATAACTGCACATGAAATGTCAAAATACTAGAAAAGAACATTTTCAAAGTCCAAGTTGGAAATATCTCCAAACAAAGATTTTGCGGATACCATGAATTTCAAGCTTATGAGAAAAAATAGGAAATATCTCAGTAGGAATCACCATGAGATGTTCTCAAATAAGCTTCGATTGAGTGAGCAAAATCGCTGCTACATCGATAAACTGCTTCACGTACTTTTGGATCACTGTATAATTTTCTCAGAGCATTATCGTTAAAACTTAGTGCCTGATAAATAATAATTAATTATTAAGTAGGAAAGAACTCCTGATAAAAACAGAAAAACTACAAGCATGAGAAGCGTAACACGTTTAACAAAAAAATGACATGAAACCCGATGTCTCAAACTGTATCATTTCACAACAATTAACTAAATAAGAAAAGACTCACGTATGAAAATTCGAATCCATGTGAATTAACGCTACTTTCGGTTAACGTATTGTTCAACTGCTCGGAATTATAACTAACTGGCCGATTTCCCCATAAAGGCCTTGTTATATTACCATCCTGCATTAACGAAATCATCGTTTGTCTTAAAAGACACCAGTGCGCATTATAATGCTTTTCTAACGATGCAAACTTTCTGCGAGGTCTAAAAAGGAATAGTAAAGAAAGCAATCCACAATTAATGACCACCAAATGTTTCGTATTTTCAGTGTATTCGAACTTTTTTCCATCTTCTTCTGTTACAAATAAAAATTAAGAAAAAATCACTTTAGGTCAACTTTCTTCTCAATATTATGTCCCTTCAAATCTTTAGCCTATAAAGTACGGAAAAAAATTAAATCAATCAACTAACCTTGATACCCAGACGTCATATAAAAAGTCAGCTCTCAGTTCAGGACACCGGAAAAAAATACCCACTCGTCCTAGATCATCCGAATAACCGATCACATGCTCAGAGTTTTTCTTTATTCCATTTGGAAAATATAGACGTGTCCTCACCTGAAAATTATGAGTGGAATTAATATGCGGAAATTATTAACAACGAAAAGAATAAATATAAATTGTTTTTACTACTTTACAAAACATTATAGTACACAACACAAACACGTTAGACTACGTTATTGCGTCGGCAATTATGGGCGGCTAACCAACCACTAAAACTTGGAGTAAACGTCAATGAGTCACAGACATTAAAAAGTACTACCTGTACATTTCCGCGAAGTGTAACCAATGTTTGCAGTACTGGTTCAATTTTTTCACGATAAACAACCATATCATCACGTTCCACCTCCATTTGAATCCAATCGCCAACTTTTAAATATTGTGATGAAATCGGTGCTACATCTCGAAAGGTGAGCGCTTTTTCTTGATGAACATTAAGAGGCCAAACAGTAATTAAATCGCCCAATGTTCGGGTAATAATCCCTCTTTGGGTATTGCTCGTGATGAAACCATTACTCATCACTTATGCCTTATTGACAAAAATATACTATCCGATTTGTTATCACATGCTTATAGTCCACAATAAGAATATCATTACCGAAAACTTGTTACCTGAAATTTTTAGCTATAAGATGGAGCAAACAAATACAACTTAAAGCCACTCAGCAAAAAAAAGTTAAATCGTGCAGAGTCAAAGGTTAGCATTACCTCGTTCTCGGCACCCTACTGCATAAACTTCTCATGACCTTACTCTATCAACCGGAATGACTTGATCATTCTTCATTACAAAAATGTGACATTGTGCAATATTAAAATCCCTTCTCGAATTTGATAATACCCGGAATTCCGAATCCCGAACACTTGAGAAACAAATTCATCAGCATTAGCACATAAATACTATTAAATTTTGAGTATATTTGTAGGAAAAGAAGGGAATCACTTCTAAAATCTTCAAAGGTTAGTTTAATTTTTTTTGTAAGTTTTATTGATATATGAAAATATATGCAACAAATCAGACAGACTGAATAATTTCTAAAATTTTAATTTTTATACTGAAATAAAGTAATTAAGTTAATTACTTACTTATTCATCAAATATTGGAAAAATTTTGTATAATTTATTAAAGAATGAAATCTCTGAGAAGCATTTATAACAAATTTTTCCTTATTTCTTTTTTGGAAGTATTATTTGAAATTAATTAATTTTTCGATATTTAAATTCTTCCAAAGAACGAAAAGAATTTAACGAAAATAAATTAAATTTTCAAATTTAAATTTTAGTGCAAATTGTGCAAAATTATGAAATTATTCAATGAATAATTTCCGTAAATTTTTTTTGATAACAAATTTATCAATTTTTCTCTCTCTCTCTCTCTCTCTCTCTCTCTCTCTATCTCTCTCTATCTCTCTATCCAAAATATGTATATCTAAATAATATCTATATCTAAATGATATGTATATCTAAATAATATCTATATCTAAAGAGCAATAAATGGAAGGATTAATTTCCTGTTGATCAGTTCAACAAGCGATTGTGTTTAAATTTTCTTCCCAAACTTGCTATTCCATTATAGAGCAGTGTAGCATTTTGTATTATACATGTACTAATTTCAATGAGTTATTCAATTTTAATTTATCAGATGTAAATATAGTTTTACAAAATTATCAGTCTATTATAGCGATTCCTTGTAAATACATGTTATAGTGATTTTTTTCACGATTATATTACAATGATTCCTTGTTTCACGAATGGATTATAATGATTTCCTCGCTGAGTTGATGTCATTCGTAATATCGTACAATTTACTTCCAATGGTAGTACCAATCATTTACTTCCAATGGTAGTACCAATCATTTACTTCCAATGGTAGTACCAATCATTTACTTCCAATGGTAGTACCAATCACTGATTTTGTTCCGATACCGAAATACACCAGCATTTATTTTATTTTCGGCCTATTTTATTTTTTGTATGTCATTTTAATTTTAAATGATTTGTTATTTTGTTAATTTCAAATTTCTTTACATTCTTACTTCCTTCTTTTTCTATCATTTTTTTCCCATTACATATTTTTCTCATTTCTTTTTTCTTCTACTCATCAATATTTTACTCATTCCTTTTTCACTCTGTTTCTTAGCATCTTCTTATAATATTAATTATTGCATATTTTATAAAACATTTTGCAAAAGCTAATCAATAAATTTAATTCTTTTTCCTAACAAAAAATCATAAAATTTTAGAATAAATTAAATTTTGGGTATATATTTTTGATGGATTTTTCACCGTAATAATCAGTTTCGATATTAATTTAATTTAATTAATTTAATTTAATTTAATTCAATGCTATATTAATTAGAAAGAATTATTCATATATTTTAGATTTAAAAAAGAAATAAATTAATGCAAATAATTTTTTGCATCTTTTCTGTAACCATATGAACAAACATAAAGATTCATTTGTTTGTTGAAACGAAAGTTTCATTCACAAAGAGCTATCTTTGACCAATTTATATTAATTATATTAATTACTATTCTTTGAATATGCAAAAAGAAGAGTTAATTTTTTTCAATGAATTTATTTATAAGAAATTATTAATTACAATGAAATGAAACTGTCACATTGAACAGTCATTTTAATAATTCTTTTGAAATATACAACTTATTGGAAATTGTTAGACAAAATTAAGACAAAAAAATTTTTCATTCTTTTATTTTTTGATATTATCATTCTTCACTTTCTTCTTATTTCACTAAAAGAAATTATTTCTAATTAACTAGGCTGCTACTAATTAATTAGTTTATATTTTTCTTTTAGTTTAAATGATCCCAATGACCAATGACTGTTGTAGAATCTGATTCCATCGAAAGTAAACAGTTATGAATTCAATTAGAAGAAGAATTCATCCATCATTTTTTCATAGACTTTATAGTAAAGGAAAAATTATGGAAGAGAGCTGTTAATGTTATCAATAACACATCTGAAATTTGCAGGCCTATAAGGCCTGGTCTTTTTAAATGGCAAAAAATAGAAATATTCGATTTAGTAAAGAAAGCAATGAAAAATTGATAAATGTTCCAAAGAAAAAAATGCTCCAAAATAATGTTTTGTTAATCAAAAAAAAAAAAGGCAAATATAATGCAATGCTAATAATATAATGCAATCAGTTTTCAGCCTTTAAAAATGAAATAATCCTAAAATCTCTCTCTCTCTCTCACTCTTCTTTTTTAACCCCTTCTTATTCTTTCTCACTTCTTTTTTAACCCTTTCTTATTCTCTCTCCTTTCTTTTTTAACTCTTTATTTTCCTTCTTCTTTTTTAACCCCTTCTTATTCTCTGTCTCTCTTCTTTTTTAACCCTTTCTTATTCTCTCTCTCCTCTTTTTAACTCCTCATTCTCTCTCTTCTTTTTTAACCCCTTCTTATTCTCTCTCTCTTCTTTTTTAACCCTTTCTTATTCTCTCTCCTTTCTTTTTTAACTCTTTATTTTCCTTCTTCTTTTTTAACCCCTTCTTATTCTCTGTCTCTCTTCTTTTTTAACCCTTTCTTATTCTCTCTCTCCTCTTTTTAACTCCTCATTCTCTCTCTTCTTTTTTAACCCCTTCTTATTCTCTCTCTCTTCTTTTTTAACCCTTTCTTATTCTCTCTCCTTTCTTTTTTAACTCTTTATTTTCCTTCTTCTTTTTTAACCCCTTCTTATTCTCTGTCTCTCTTCTTTTTTAACCCTTTCTTATTCTCTCTCTTCTTTTTAACTCCTTATTCTCTCTCTTCTTTTTTAACCCCTCATTCTTTCTCTCTTCTTTTTAACCCCTTCTTAATCTCTCTCTTCTTTTTTAACCCCTTCTTATTCCCTCTCTTTTAACCGCTTCTTATTCTCTCTCTTCTTTTTTAACTTTTTCTTATGATCTCTCTCTCTTCTTTTTTAACTCCTTCTTATTGTCTCTCTCTTCTTTTTTAACTCCTTGTTCTCTCTCTTCTTTTTTAGCTCATTCCTATTCTTTCTCTCCCTCTCATATTACATTATCCTTTTTTTTAAACGATAACTTTTAAGTTATTAAATAATTTTATGAAATTTTAATTATGATTTTTTCTTTGGCTTTTTAAAATGAAATCGTGCTTTTTACACACATTGTTTTACTTGTAATGAGAAAGAAAATATGCTTGTGAAAGTATATAATATAAGGATAAACCGGAATTGATTTCCGGTTAGTGCGTTTTCTTGTTATATTAAGAATTAGAAATTATTACGTTACAGTATGAGCGTATGAAAGGATGTAAATGTTAATATTACGTAGTTTAAAATAAATATCCTTACGTATAACATATAAAACAATCAACGGAAAAACGATTTAATTTAACCTTTAGCCTTTAGGATTTTAAGATGCAATGAAAGATGTAATTGTGTAATACTCATTTGCTAATTAAAGCAAATAAAGTTATTTAAAAAGAAACTTACACACAGTTGGTGTAATAGAATGGAATATAACATAAACTATTTTAATCATTCCTTTCATTTCTTTCAATCCCTTTTTTCCTTAATTCCTTAATCTAACCTCTGACCTTCAAAATTATGATCATCCCTTTATTTATTCTCGTATTCATTCTCGATAAATTACTCCTTTTGTCCTAAAAATTTATAAATGAATTGGTTATATTTTACTTTAAGTTTTGACCATATTGAAACTGTTGATTTTAATTTCTTTTCTTTTTTTAAAACTAAAATTTAATTTTTAATGTTAAATAAATTAACATTACTGTAGTATAACAGGACGACTAAATCGATTGAATCAGTTAATGAATTATTCTTTTAATTTATCGGTATGCAAGTAGCTGTAAATTGCAATTATCGCATGCATGCATGTATGCATGCAACGAATATTTTTTTCAATTTGAACAAATCCTCAATTTTCGTTTCATTTGTCGGCATATTTATTATAATCCAATTTCGGTAATTCATTTCGAATTACGCGGTCCGTAAAAATAATACAATTTTTTGCTTAATTTACTAACAAACGAAATATTTGTTGCGATGAAAAAATATATCAAATTTCAATTTGATATTTTAATTATTTGTTAGTGGATAAATTAGACGTATCACTAACGTGATATGTTATCTCTCATTACGCTGCAGTACACGTCGAATATTCTTTTTCTTTTTTTTGTACTGATTAAATACGAAATTCTCTAATGTAAAACAATACGAAAATTAATCAATTCATTTATTTTGATAAGTCAACTTATCGAAGCTTACAATCAGTGATTATCTGAATGTTATCAAATATATTGTACTCTATCAGTGATAACGATAAGTTGTTGAAAAATTTTATCCATAATACTAATTTTTATCATATGCATATTATTAAAATGTCTGCTATTAAATGATATCATTTGTTAAGGAATTTATTGATATGTTCAAAATCAAAACAAAAACTTCGTTAGCACTAACAAATTGCATATCAATGCAAAAAACTTGCTAATACAGCTAAGCTAATATTTATAAACACACACACACACACACCCACA